AGTGGAAAGTTTCTCTGAGCTCACTGAAAATCAGATTTTAAGGAGGCGGGGCCTATCAGCGTTATTTGTGACATTACAAATAGTTTGGAGGTCAAGTATGGAAATCATCAAGTGTGATGTAGAAACTTGAAGCCATCAGTGCACATACACTGAGAATGTAGGAGAACAGGAATTTTGGAATTTTGAACGAGGTATAACGAGTCGAGTATGACTTTTTAGATTTGAATGTGGAAATTTTATTTTTTAAATTTAAGTCGAAAATAACATACAGAGAGGTTTTCACATAAACAAAATATATTAAATAGCTTTAGCTAAAAGAAAAAGGAAAAACATGTCAGTAAGTAAAATACTGTAAAAATGTAAACCTTCAGCATGGTTACAATACAGGAAAATATGTATTGAGTACTTATTATAGGGCTGCAACTAACAATTATTTTCATTGTTGATTAATTAATAATAGTTAATAGTAATAGTTTAGTCAAAAAAAATTTAAGAATATAGTGAAAAATGCATGTTACACTGTAAAACCAGACAAGTTTATTTAACTCAAAAAACTGTTGAAATAGATTACGTCTAAAATTAGGGTTAGTAAAACTAACTGAATGAAAGTTAAAAAACATTATTGCTCAAGTAACTTTAGTAATTTATTTGTACTGTGAAAACAAAATACCTATTAAAAAGTTCTTAGTCAGGAATGTTTCTTTAACTACAAGTAAAACTAAGTTAGTGTCCCTTAAAAATTACAAGTAAAAGCTGCTTAATCAAGAATCTTTATATAGATTTTAATGTGGAAATTATACTTTTTTTTGCAGAAAAAACATATAATTACATAATTGTTCCACGCAGACTTCAGATTTGTATGCACGTGTCTGCAGGGAATCTTAAATGTTGCAAACATTTTCAAGGGCATTCATGACAAAGGTGATTTACATTCCTGTTTGTACCCCACAAACTGTAAAGGTGTGTGCAGTGTCATTCTTTCTGTATGTGTCAATCAGTGCTGTGGTATGAGGAAGGGGACAGTGAAATACATAAAGTAGCTCTTCAGAGGGTGTCTTATCAATCTTTATCTGCCCCATCAGCTTTTATCTTCTCTCCATCTGACTTGTCCTTCGTTCAGATCGCAGTAAATTTTAAGTATCCTTCTGCTCCCGGTGAGTGTGAACGAGCGTGTTAAAGGTCTGTGTCGTGTCGAGTCATGGTCATTATCTTAGGCGATCTGATTGCAGATACCAATCTAATCTGATATGTCCATATTTTATGTCACTGTCTTTGTGCTCAAGTGTAAAATAAGGAAACGAAGATAAGACGCGTTTGAGAAACTATCCCAAGAGGACTGGGACAGACAAAAGGAAGAGGATCAAGGAGACTTTCAGAATGTGACCTTGACCTTTGCCAAGTAACTTCTATAAAAAGGTTTACGACTGCATGCCTGCTGATCTGCTGCGCATTTTGAAGCTTCCACCCTCGCTGTTCTCTGCAGACTACAGCACACGGCTAAATTATGTGAACGTGTATCTGCATACAACTGACAAATTACTCACAAAAACCGTCATTGTGTGAAATGTTCCATTTTTAACTGACCCATGCTGAATGGCGTCTTTCATTACTGATGGCTCAATTGCAACGGATCATTTTCCAGGACATTTTCCAGAAGTTTTTCTTGACAATACAGGACGCACTGTATTGTCGCACTTGCGCTAAGAAACGATCATATAAGGTGCTGTTTCGGGCATATTGACTACAATAATTTGGCCACAGCCTATAAGTAACAGTTCAAATCAGAATTAGTTTTATTTAACAGAAAATTCAACTTGCAATAAACACAAAAGTAAAAGTGTTTATTGCATGTATGTATTTAACATCACTGTGCATGTATTTATCGGCCACAGCAACAAGACATTTGATCATTAGCAGGCTGTGTACATGGAGATACAAGAATTCTGCTCGCGGCTCTGGAAAAAATAGACTCAATGCCGAAATGGTCGCTGCAGTCAGTTCCACTTCGCATCTGGTAAACCTGCTTTGAAGAGTCATAGAGGTCGACCAACCAACGGTCTCTTCACACAGAATACGCAAGTTTATGTAGGCAAGGTTAGTGAGGGGTTAAAATACAATACAAACATACATACATACAAACATTTCCGGGACAACATAGATTACTTCCAGGATATTTGCTCATTTTAATCAATTTGAGTGTTTTTATGACTAGTCTCTAAATTTCCAGCTTCTCCAGGGGCCTCATGTACTAAGACTTGCGTGGATTTCCTACTAGAATGTGGCGTACACTGAAAGAGTGAAAGCGTTACGCACAAAAATTCAGATGTATCTAAAACGCTGCGTACGCAAAATCCCGAACGCACATTGTCTTTGTATACAATCGTAAAATCAACGTGAAAATTGAGCGCACATGCACGAGCACAAGCTCCACCACTGCATGCCTCCCTTCAAAATTACACCGATTTTGCAATATGCTAACTAGTATAATGAATAGATACGTGTGTCTTTAGGAACAATGGCAAAATAGCCAGGAAAATATTTTACGGAGTGTTTGAATTGGAGGTGGCTGCTGACGGAGGTAAGACGGCCCAAAAAAATAATTCTATATTTGCGTTGGCAAGGCAGTACTCGGTAGGGTTCGGAGACGCACTGGCAGCAGGAAGTTTGAGAAAGAATTGCCAGGCCTTCAGGACCACAGGTGGGTGGGAGTCCCTGTATTACGGTAGACTGATATTTATCTTACTTGTTGTATTGGTGGAAAAGGGTTTAGGTAAGTTAAGACGTGGGTCACCAGATCCAGTGGAAGCGCTTAGTGCTGTTGTTGTGTGCTGAGCATGGCTGATGGAGACGGCGCCATCGGTCGCGCACTTTTATTGTTAACTGTTAAACTAATTGCAAGAGGCTAAAGATAATTTTCAGTCTGTTCTATCTTATCCTCGCCATTACGCAGTAAGAAGGACTGCGCGCTGCCAGTAAATAACCCTTAACATCATAAATCTGCCAAATGATTTTAAAATTGGTGTATTGTATGTTTGATTGTAAATAATATGATTTTG